ACTGGAAGGCATATTGATGAGTTGGCAAGATATTGGTGCTGCGCTGATGAGCGCTGGACTCAGGGAAACTTTGAAACACTTTGTATCCATATTTTTGATAATATAAGCTGTGAAACTCGGTTCTCATCTTCTCTACCTATTATCAGACTACTGTTCGTTGTGTGTGGGAGAACGATGCATGGCATGTACACACTTGCGTGAGATGGTCTCCAGGACCCATGCAGTATTCTTTGCGCTTGCTGTAAAATGTATTGATCGAAACGCGAAGGAAAGAAAAAAATGGACAAAGGCCTGGTCAGTCCTGATGCATACAACCAAGTCAGGCAACAAGCCACGTTGAAGACAGAGCGCGGCACAACGAACCGCTTTCATATGACGACGGCGAGTTCAACAACGTCAGTTACACTCCCTTGTGTCCAGGCCAGTTGCAGAAATTCAATGATAATTTAGCTAACAAGTTTTTTCCTTTTAAAGGAAGCAGGTTCAAGCAGTGGATAAGACTTACGGCTTTTCCCAATAGACTTTCCTTTATTGGAACCAGCAGATAAGACTCACATTTTTGTCCAATAGACTATTCTTTCTTCTAAAGGAACCAGCAGATAAGACTAACGAATTTTTTCAATAGACAACGTACAATGCTGTCTGGTTCAGACGACCCGCCTAGATCACTACAACAGGGACCTAAACCACGGACAATGAGATCATGTGGACAACAAGGTCAGCATGCATTCAGAGGTTTGAATCAGTGGGCAGTCGCATAGGCAATCGGATGGTATCTGGGTAGTTCACCTTGTTCCCCCCGGCAGGATGGCGATCACCAAATCAAGAGCAATAATAATTGTACCCCAGATACCAACCAAAATAAGTCTCCAGATGTAATGCAATCGTACTTCCACTCAGTGCTGCATTGGCTATGCACATGCTCACAGAGTCGCACGACCAGGCTCACAGCACTACAGCTACCTTGCCCGTACTGCCAGCGTGGTCTGTCAGCACACAAGGTGAGTGTCCCTTTCTCCTTCCACCGGGCAATCCGTTCTTCCAGCAAGTAGCCAGAAGATAGGCAAAGGTAGAGAAGAGGTGGACAGGATTGGCAAAGGTAGAGAAGAGGTGGACAGGAGGAAAGCTTCATCAATGGTAACCATTTTTTGCCCTTGACACTGTTGACAGATGATATTCTTCGTACGTCTGTTTCTGACGTCAGTAGTTGACCCATTGCAACGATTCTACCTCACACATCCGCTTTCACCACAGAGCATGCATCACACCAAACTCACATGAGTACGCGAGATGAGTGCGCACTGGAAATTTATTTGCAACCTCGAACTCATATACAGCAGGTTTCGTATAGTTCGGTGCCTTTGGCCACTATGTACAACAAAGGCATGCAGCACTCTCTCTCTCTCTCTCTCTCTCTCTCTCTCTCTCTCTCTCTCTCTCTCT